GTTACAGTAACCATCACCCAGCCAGACCGTTACAGTAACAATCACCCAGCCAGACCGTTACAGTAACAATCACCCAGCCAGACTGTTACAGTAACAATCACCCAGCAGTTCTTCTATTTTTAACCTTAATATGACTCCGAACATTTCATTAGTTTCTGTATTTAAAAAAATTTTGACACACCATACACTCACTCACGATCCACTCACACACACACCATCCACTCACACACACACACACCATCCACTCACACACACATACCTACGGGGATCATTGAATCTTAATCACAAATTAAAACAGAATTGTTATTATTTATTTTTAGTCTGTAGCATACTTTTCACTTGTCATTTGGGAAACAGTGTGTCTTGTAGGTTTCATGTCTTAAGTTGTGTCTGAATACAAGAAGTCTTTCATAAATTAAGACTGAACCAGAGTGAAACTTCCTTTCATCAGATGAAACTCTTATACACTTTAAACATTTATAGTCATTTTTATTTTTAATTTCACTTCCATAGGCCAGGTATGCTTTTGTCCCCAGCTCTGAAAGCCTGATAAAAGAAGCTCAGAATCTTTCAGTGGCATTTTAGCTTCATGATTAGGGAAATTTACAGGCTGTTATACGTTACATCCCATTTTTTAATTTTAAAGGGTAAAATGAGTACAACCAAAACCAAACAAAGCTATTTCATGAACATCAATGAATCTCTCCTGTGATTAAACATGTATCTTACGACAGAATTTGATAGTCATATATCTTTACAGAGGTGTTGCTAATGATTTTCTTTATCTGAGAGTTCTGCCAGTACACACAGGGTAGATAACTGCTGTACATAATTAGTTCTCCACGCATGATCTGCATCCCCGGAACGTCGATGTCGTATTGTAGGGAAGTACAATGGCGTTCGTTGTCCTTCAATCGCCCTTTGCCACATAGGGGAGCTGTTGACATCCCCGAGGAGTTAGTGCCTGTTTTTAGCATAGGTAATCATTAAAACAGGGTGTGATAAGGAGACATTCAAATCTCTGTGTACCTGGGCTAAATTGAGAGGTGTAATCAAACCCTTGAGGGCTGCAATTTCCCAGTCCAGACGCACAGCTCTGATAGATAACATCTTTGTCATTTTAATAGTAGGCCCTCGGTCCTTCAGGCCAGCCCTACTGGATTGTTGCATAATTGCTTTGGCGTGCTTTATTTGTTTTTCTAATCTCCTCATCGACATCATCTCTATTGCCTGAGCAGGCCAATCGATATCAACAGCCCAGCTGTGGCCGGACTGACCCCCCACCCAGCCGGTGAGAAAACTGCACCTCCTCCCCTAGCTCCCTCTACTGGGCGAAATGCGTCATTGGCAGCATAAACGGAGACTGTTTCTGCCAAGTGTGATGCTGCTGTGCGGGAGAGGTGCTGTTTTGTGCACAAACCGCACGTCTGCTTAATTCACGTACATGTTAGCATCTCAGCAGATCTGATTCACAATAATAACATTCATTATTTTACTCATTCCTGCAATTACGAAAATTGTGCATACTTAAGTAATTCAGTAGCTAATTGAAATTACATTTACTTTATTTGATGTTACTTTTAATGCTGGCACTTTATATTATGATTTTGACGCATACGGGAATTGAATTGAATGTGTTTTCTTGTATCTTGATAAGTCGTAGATAAGTCGTGGTGTCGTTGAATAGTAATACTGGTCAGGAAATAGAATTTGACAGTCAGAGCGGTTCAGACATCGTTTGGTTATAAAAGAGCGTCGGATCTCTCGGGATCTCAGATTCTGGCTGGCAGACATTTCTGAGCCCAGTGTCAGATACCTACCCCCAGCCCCACCCCCACCCCCATTGTGTATATGTGTTACACCATAGTTTCACCGCTATCGCGTTCACGTTTGCGGAATGTGTCCCCCGGGTCTTCATGGCAATCAGGCTCGGAAAGGCACTTTTATAAAGGCGGGGTTAGCTGAGGCCAGGTTCGTCGGGTCACCATCCGGCAATCAGACCTGTCACTGCACACTGCCGCCCTTCTGAAAGTGTGTCTGCTGATCCGAGCTAAACCTCTGCCCATCTACCGATATTTTTCACACCCGGGCCACGCAGTGTTCCTAGCCGACCTGTGGTGTTTGTTTTTATTATTTCCTATCTTTTGTGCACCGGTTCTGGGACTTCAGATAGTTAGTGTGATGGATGGATGGATGGATGGACCTCTGCCGACCTCTCACAAGTAAAGAGTCAGGGTGTGTCTGTTAGTGCTTTAGTGCATATCAGTGCTCAATTAACCTTTCAGGAAAGCATTCTTTTTTATGATATTGCAGTTTAAGTCCAGTGCTGACATCATTTCGCAGCCTTTTCATGCCCGTACACTAAAATGTCCAAATTTTGGCGTGATCTGGCCGATGCTAGTCGTGATTTAGATGCCGTCTCTTCGGTGTGGAGTGTTATACGGAGGTCACTAGGCGGCGTATAGAAGTCTCGTTACGTTTTCTTATGAATCGTCCGGGATACAGGCCTGGGTCTCCGTCCCTCAGGTTTTAGCTAAGCTCTCTGCGTGATTGTGGTGTTGGCGCCACGGTTTATTTGGTGGTGATAAACGGCCTTCCTGGAAATTCACGACAGCACGGGAACTGAGCGCATGTGGAACGGAGCCCAGCGAAGGACACAGCTTTGTCCTGGAGTCACGTCGGTTTACACCATTAACCTCAATCGCAGCGATGCATCTGGCTTCAGATCAGCATCGGCTGGATATTTATTTACCTGTAAGGTTAATGAAAAATCTATATCTATGAGAATGGGCATTCTAATAAGTCAAGTAGAGAAAGTAGATAAGTCACCCTGAATAATACTGAAGGCTACATGAACTAATCTACTACCTCTTCTGACCCTGATGGCATGCTAGCAAACTTACTCAAGTTCTTCTGTGTATTACGTGCTTTCAGTATCCTTGGGAAACCAGGTGGAGAGTGGAAAAGAAGAAAAAGTCAGATAATTACATTCTGCCATTAATCTGAAGGAAGTGTTAGCTGAGAGGTACGCTTTGGGCCGCGTGCAGCCCTGTGATCTGGGGTACTGGCTGTCAGTCGGCTGTGACAAGAACGTCCCTCTGGTCAAGTAGCCCAGGGGACATACGGGGGAAAAAAAACTCACAAACACAAAGGAACCCACAACGCCACGCAGACACTCACACTCCCGAAAGGCAAATAAAAACCGCAACAAGGACACAACATGAGGCTTCACGCCGGGACAAACAAAAAAAGGTGTAAAATGAAGGATATGTTTTTATACACAGACAGACAGACGTGGTAAAACTGAGGACATAAACTGTATGACTGCGCTCACACACACACACATACACACACACACATATGCACAAACAAAGCAAACACAGTCTGTTGAAAAGCTTATTATCCATTTGGTAACATCTAGCACTGCCAAATTAACACAGGATACAGCATCTGCTCATC